GATTTTCGTCAATAACTGAGTGATCTTGAATTGTCGTTAGCTTCACGCACTTCTTCGATTTTGCCTCCATCTATTAAAAAGCCAAATTATAGTTGGTTTAATAAGTGCAATAATTACTTCATTGTTGTGGAAAAGTCCAGGATAGAACTCCTGTGAAGAACCCTCCTGTTCCACCGTCCAGTTAGTCGATTTCATTTTTCCTGAAGTTCGGCTTTCTCTGGCCTATTGAAAATATTCAAATCAAAGAATGGCTACCTGAGAACCAGATAGTGGATGTGTTGAATACTTCTTGGGTAGTTGATTATTGGCTGGGAGTTTAGGCATAGCCTCTATGAAAGACATGATAGCCTCCTGACAATTGCAATTAGAATCAGTTTCCCAAGTGTTGTAGGAATGGGGATAACCTTTCCACTTGATCTCATATTCCCATACACCATCGATTATTCGCATTCCAACCACCTTCTCCACCTCGTATTCATTGGAATTAACCATTTTCAATTGGAGAATTGTGACACTACTGTCAGGTTGCTATAAAATGACTGCTAACTTCCTTTGAAGTTAAATAAGCCTCGTGAGCGCAGTTAACAAAGTTCCCTTTCTTCTTAATAGTGTTCATTTTAAATGAATTTAAATTTTTACAGATTAGAATATTTATTTATTTATTTCAAATGCCGGGCATTTTGATAGTTATCATTAGGCCTTTAGCTGACTTTAGGCTTCACAGAGGAGGAGGGGGAACATCAAAGTGACAAAAAGTTGAGAGGGGGAGGGACAGAGTAATGATTCACAGATGCAAAAGAGACAGACAGGCACAAATGTTGAGTAAAAGGTAAGGCGAGATCTGCTGAAATGGTGGAATATGACACAGTCAGTGGGGTGATGGTAGTTAGAAGTCAGAAGTCAACTGCCAGTTAATAGACTTTTTGCCGTTGCCCAGGGTGTACCACGTGGAGGTAAGTCGATCACACACCCCACAGGTTAAAATATATACTGTGTCTAATGGTCCATTTCATGAAAGCTATGGGATTTTTTCCTATCGGGGATGTCCACCGACTTCAGAGATCGTCTAGTTTCAGGTTACTTTGCATTATATTGCTTCCAATTTTGACTATACATTTTCCTTCTTAAAAAGTGAGAATCTCACAGACGTTCCTCCGGCAATTTAGAACTGGCATCTCAAATTTCAAATGTTAGGTATGTATGGTGTGAACAGCGTTTATTCTGGTTGTGGGCACTGACAGAGAAAGTGCTAATTAAAGCGTACTTCTTTGTCTACACTGATCACGCAACGACTAGTGCACTCACCTCGCACTTGACCCCCTAACGCATGGTTCAAGTTCCCGACTGCTCTAGTGCGCATTAGATTTCAAAATTCAGCCAAGTCAGCGTTGTGTACTCTACACCATTCTCCTTTTAACAGCTTCTAAATGGAAATAATCCTTATTGGATAGACTTAACGACACATACAATAAGCACATTTGCTTTCATTCCTCAGTCGATGTGTCCACTGTCTTCCAGAGCTGTCACGGAGGTTAGTAATTAAAAGAGAGGGAAAGGTTTGCCAAACCATGCAGTCACCATTGATTGGAGGCTGGCCGTGAGAGGATCTCAACTCTCACTTATACTTGCGCTCTACGCGACGAATAGCACGGCCGCACATTCAGAGTCTGTCTGAGTGGTCATGAACTGTCATCGTTCGGCCATGACAGGGCTGTGCACTCCATATGATTTTTTATATCAAATGGCAGGCGTTTTGATAGTTATCATTAGCCCTTTAGCTTACTTCGAGCTTCACGGAGAGGAGGAGGAACATCAAAATGAGAAAAGGTCAAGAGGGGGGGGGAAGAAAAGTGATTTGCAGATGTAAAAGCGACAGACATAAAGGTAGAGAAAGAAAGGTAAGCTGAGTACTGTGGAGTGGTGGAATATGGCACACAGTCGGGTCATGGCAGTTTGAAGTAAGAAGTCAACTGCCGGTTTGTAGGCTTTTTGCTGTATGAGTAAACTTTGCCCAGGATGCACCACGTGGAGGTAAGTCTATCGCACAGCTGTCCAGGGTGCACCACGTGGAGGTAAGTCTATCGCACACACCCCTCCGCTTCCAAATAAGATGTTGATAGTGAAGGCATATTTCCAGGGTGCACCACGTGGAGGTAAGTCTATCGCACACCCACTTGGCTCTCCCCTCAAATTTCAACCCTACACGGATGGGCGTATTTCACAAAGAATACCACTAGTTCTCGCTTTTTAGAATTCTACCTAAACGCCAATAAATATTGACAATATTATCAGAAAGTTTTGCTTCAAGAATCCAGAACCTGCCTTTCCCCCATACGGCAAAAATGTCTATTAACCGGCAGTTGACTTCACACTTCAAACTACCATGACCCCATTGTATGTCATATTCGACTACTTCCAAAGAACTCACCTCACCTTTTTCCCCCTTATCTACCTTCGTCTTTGAAACACTCTTTCCCCCCCCCCTCGCCCTCTCGACTTGTTTCACTTTGATGTTCCTTCCCCTCCGTGAAGCCTGAAGTCAACTAAAGGGCTATTGATAACCATCAAAACGCCTTTATTTATTTATATTAAACGGTCGATACTGACGGAGTCCTTGGTGCCATTGCGGTCAAGAATGAAATGTTTAGGTTTGCGTTTGAGGATTTTGTAAGGCCCTTCGTACGGTGGTTGTAGGGGTCTTTTTACTGAATCAACTCGAACGAAAACAAAGGGACTTGTAGATATGTATATGGATATACACTGGCGTGGTATTCGAACGGGTTGGTGTTGGACGGACGGCTCTGAAATGGTCTTTCAATCGGGTGGAATAGGATAATAGGTCTACGGTAGTATGTTTATGGGAGTCAAAGATCATTTCTCCCGGTAGCCTTAGCATAGTACCAAATACTAGTTCCACCGGGCAGCATCCAAGGTCTTCTTTCACAGTACTCCTAATAGACAGGAGGATGATGGGAAGACGTTCTGCCCAGTTAACGCCAGCCGAAGTAGCGATGATAGCAGACTTAAGCCGTCGATGAAAACGCTCTACTAAGTCGTTGCTCTCCGGATGATAGGCGGTGGTGTGTATGCGTGTCGAGCCCAAGATTTGGTTAAACTCCCGAAACAACGTAGAAGTGAATTGGGGTCCCCTGTCAGAAGTTATTATGGCGGGAACTCCGAAAATGGATATTCACGAATCCATTAGTGTCTTCGCCACCATCGTAGCAGTAGTGTCGCGTATGGGTACTGCGATTGGCCAACGTGTAAATCGGTCGGTACATGTTAGAATATGTGTATAGGAGTTCGAAGGTGGCAGCGGATCCACGATATCAACATGTATGTGGCGAAAACGTGATTCGGGAAGAGGGTAAGCGGCGAGCGGACTGCGAGAATGTTTTGGGACCTTGCTGGCCGGACACGTGAGGCAATGTTTGGCCCAATGACGGACGTCCTGCCTGATGTTCTTCAAAACAAAACGGTCGGTGATCAACTTCGTTGTGGAACGAATGCTCGGATGAGATAAAGCGTGAAAATGATCAAAAATCTTTCGGCGATATGCTTGCGGGACAAATGGTCTCGGCTTGCCGGTTAAAACATCGAAATGGATTCGTGTATCGGAGTCTGGTAGGGGTAAGCATTCGAAACGTAACGAAGGGTTGGATGTAATTTCGGTGAAATCTTGATCCGACTTTTGTTCAGTGGCCAGAATTTGCAAATCGAGAGAGGGTGCCCCTATTTGGTTCCACTCCATGCGAGACATTGCATCAGCAACCACGTTGCTCGCGCCATCAATATGGCGAATATCATTTGTGAATTGCAAGACGAAATCCAAATGACGAGTTTCCCTGGGGGAGTGGTAATCTGAGTTGGCCTGGAAGGCATAAATTTGGGGTCTTGTGGTCGGTAAATATTGTAAACTGACGGCCTTCCAATATATATGACGAAAGTGTTCGACCACCAAGTAGATGGCAAGTAATTCTCTACCGAATGTGCTATAACGGGTCTCAGTAGCGGTGAGCTTCTTGGAGAAGAAGGAGAGTGGTTGGGTTTCGCCTCTAACTACCTGTTGCAGAAC